CTTTTTAGTTTCCCCAAGTTTCTAATTTTATGGTGGGTGATTTCACTATTAATTTTTTTAAAGGTTTTTATTGAAAATTTAACATCAGATACAAAGACAAATCAGTGACAATAAACTGTCATATGCCAAATACAGATTATCACGTTACAAATTCCAATAAAAAGAGTAAGTACTTCACAATACAATAGGTCTCAATATCACAAAAATTAAGCTACAAAAAATTATGCCTATCAGGAGAAAAAGGGTGTCAAAGGGTGTATAGAAATTTTGCTTTCTGCTTTCTATAATCCATGCCTTTTCCTGTGATTACATTCTGATAACATGCTGTGCCTTGTTTCCTCTTGCTAGCCACATGGTAAGGCCAAATGGCCTCGATAGCCATGCCATAAACCCTCATTCTTTCACACTTTCATGCCAAAAGCAGACCCACATGCAACAAGTCACGTAGGCCATGAAGTACCTGGAAACTAGGTCAATTGCTTGCAGGCGTGGCCTCCAAACTTCTAGCCATTCCTGTGTTGCAGCTATGGCAACCAACAATTGGACACACCTATGTCCACTCGTGATTGGCCGAATGGCCATCACATCTAATTTGTGACTGGAATTGGGCTATAATTGTTTGATCCCAATGAGAGAGACTCGCTCTTAGCTCTTGCTCTCTGCTCCTGCTCTCTCTGCTTGTTTTATGGCACCTAGAAATGCCGTCTCGTGAGGGACAAAGAACTGTTTTGTGAATTGGACCACATGGTTGAGCAAAGATGGATTTTCCCTTCAAAATCCCTTGAACTGTTTGGATATTCCTGAACTTGGTAAATATGTATCTTTTACTGTGTAGTTAAGGCAAATCGCCTTAGGCTTGTTATTTTGGTAAACTCTGGTAGTCTGTGTTAAGCTCTGTACTGAATAAAAAATTATTCTTGTTTCTAAATGGTCTCTGATGTTGTACCTGAGTTCCAAGTCTAAATCTGGTGGCTAACCCTGACCACATATGCTACCTTGATAAGAGTGTGACTCTCTAAGTGAGTTGCTAATGTGTTAAGTTCCAGATACCAACTGAGAGTTTGAACCTCTAATCTCAGGTTGGGGGGAACGTCTGTAGAGGTTCTGGTGGCACATTGTTCTGAAACCAGAGAGGGTATAGCCTATCTCTGGGTTTGTTGTTTAATGTACTGGAAAAGTACAGGATTGCCTCTCATCCCTGGTTTAATCCTGTACATGGTGGTCTGAGCTGTGAGATCTATGAATTGGAATTCAGTTGCAACAATCCTGGGTATGTTGCCCTGTGTGCAGAGCATGCAGTAGACTGTAAGAGAAGTTTGTTATTTTAAATAGTGTTAGCTAGGAATTTTGGACATGGATAAGGGAGGTGAACATTGCTCCCTGGAGGACTGAGCGTCCTTTCAGCTTTGGCCCAGCTGCTTCACTCTTACTGGGGTTACTTGTACTTGCCCTCTGCTCTTCCCCAGTAGCATATTGGACACCTTCCGACTTGAGGGACTCATCTTCCGGCGTCATATCTTTTAGCCTTTTGAATACTGTCCATGGCTACTGAATAATAATGATGCTGTGACAGCTGAGCACTCTCCCCCCCCCTCATCTATTGAAATGGAAGGCTTGACCACATTCAGAATAATGAGAATTGGTTCATTACTACAGTGTACATTGCTTAATTGGCATGCATAGCCACACCCCAGCAGATGCTATGGGTGCAAGTTATGACTGACTTAATTTTCGGGTTGCCTACTGGTAAAGTGGGATGAGCTGGTAAAGTAGGATGAGCTGAGTTTCAGAGGTTGAACAAGGCACTGTCCTCCCTCAGTGCTGGTTCAGCTACTCATGTGGCACTGTCTGTCAGCTGACATGGAAGCCTACATGTGCATGGAAGCAGTTTCCTGGAACATTATCAGAGACAGACACATGACCAAATGGATGGTGACTTAGGGCAGTATCTATTTCAGAGGAGCTACAGAGAGGTGAAAGTCTTGCATTCCTAAACAGAGATATACCCTTCTAAGGCCATTGACTTCCACTGGTCCGTTGACTTCCACTTAAACAGGTATCACTCTGCTTAAGATTGCAGTTGGTAGTCAACTAGTGTCTTATACTGCAGATGTCAGTCTATGGGTCAGTATCACACTAATTCAAGGAAAAAATAAATCTCATTGTCCTGGAAAGTGCCACACTTGTTTTCCATGGCCAGAGACTGTTTTTGCTGTTCTTTAAGGGATCCCAGGCTATTGGCTTTGGGGATAAAAAGTCATCTTCCACTTCTTAGTGGCAACAGGAAGAAGGGCAGAGGCATCCTCTTTGGCTTCTTGGAAATAATCAGGACTGACGTTGTGCTGAAAACTGCTGTGTTTATCACATGCACCCACAGTAGCATAATGTTATGATCTCAAGTGATGTGGCCATGGCCACCTTGGAGAAATTCTAGTTCAGCTAGCACCTGGGCAGAATTGATCATGGTGGTTTGTGAGAAAGCTTCATAGTTTGTCCAGGCTGTTTTGTGTGATACTGCTCCTTTGTAGATACTGTTGTCAATCTCTGTTGGTTCACTTTCTGAGTAAAGGAATATGAGATCTAGAACCTCTTGTTCAGAACTGCTTCAGACACTCTGTAGCTGACGTAACACATGCATCTCCTGTAACAAGATCACTTCAGATCTCACATAAGGAGTTGCTTGTCTAAAAGTACCCCCCCCACACACACACACAAATGCATCTTGTTGTTCTCTGTGATGCTACTAGACTCTCTCTCTTCTACTGAAGACCAACATGGCTACTGTTCTGAAACTTGCCTCTGTAATAGCAAGGGGACCTTGAGCCCACTCCAGGTCTTACCACATGTTGAATCAGAGGAATGAGAGAAATATCTGAACAGCTTTTGAAATGTTTCCTGAAAGTTCAGTTTGATGAGATGTGTGAGGCAATTCCTCTGCAACATTTTTTGTGCCTTGCCTGGGTACTGTTCAAACACCTTCAGGAAAAATGCTGAAAAATTCTGCACCGCGGAAACCTTTGGCAGGAATCAATGGCCTCTCTACTGAGAGGATGCTGCTAAGTCAGTTCTGACTCCTGTTGCAGGTGCAAGTGCTAACTCCACTTTTAAAGCAAAATATTGCCTTGTTGTTTTGCAGGAGCCTCTGGAAGCATTTTCGTGCTGTTAGTCTGTGCTTGTTCTTGCTGATCTTTCCGGCTTACATGGCCTACATGATCTGTCAGTTTTTCCACATGGATTTCTGGTTGCTGATCATTATTTCTAGCAGCATACTCACCTCCCTTCAGGTAAGCCATATCCCATTGTATGTAATTGATGTGTATTAGTAGAGATGAGCAGATCCTGCAGTTTTGGAGTGTGCATTTATTTGTATATGTTATATTGAAACATCTCACAATTTTTGATTACATTTCTTTTAAATAAAGTCCTGATTGAGGATAAATACCTTGTTAAATAGGAATGTACATAAACATTTGTTTATAAATACTCAGGTGCTTTATTAGTCCAGTAGCGCCTTAAAAACTAACAAAATATATGACAGGGAGTGGTCAGATTCTCGAAGAGGCATGTGAGGGATTCAATCCTGAAAGCAACTACAAGAACACCCTTGAAAATCGGGGACAACATCATCAGGATTCTAAAAGACATCCCATTTGAAATAAAGCAAAAGAGAAAGAAATATAAAGACTTAATCCTTTTTCTACAAACAAACAGCATTGCCTACAGATGGTTAATTCCAGAAGACGTCATTTCAAACTACACGATAAAAGAGAAAAGATTGACTCTGGCTTTAAAGCACGTGAGTTCCTGAGATTGCAGCTGGGAGAGACAGCCGAGGTCGCTAAGGAAGATGATGACAGCAAATCCAGTGGCGAATTGGACTCGGTGTCTTCCGACGAAGACTCTGCTTCCAATAAGGGGGCAGCTGCCCCCAAGCGTGCATATCAACTGAGGATGAGAAAAGATAAAACAAAATGAAGGCTAAAGGACTCTGAATTGTGCCTTAAAATTTTGGTTTTATTATTGAATGCTCTTGGGGTTCTCTTTAAACAGTTAAATCAATGGATAAAAAGATAAATAATTTAGCATAACTGACCATGTTCAAAGTAATACTAGCAATTTAAGATTAACATTTATATAAGCTGTTGTTATGATCTCCTATTCTTGGGGGTTTAGGTATTAGTGGCTGAAGGACTCTGAATTGTGCCTTTGAAAAACTTTTTTTATATATACTAGATGCTTAGGGGTCTTTCGGGTTAACAGTGATACTTAAGATATGAAAAAATACTATAGTTGAATTAGTTCATAATGGGATTAGCGTGATTGAGAGATAACGTGTGCTAAGATAATTAGATGATCTCCTCTCTTGGGTTTTTAGATAGTAGTGGGTATCTTTTCTTTATCTCTTAATGTAGTCCCCTTCCCTATTTCTGTTGTAGTTTGTAGTCTTTATAAAAATGCAATTAAAAAATCCCCTCCGGAGGGCCAAAAAAATACACAATCATAAATAGTTCAACATACAAATATAACAAGAAATTATACACCTTTAAGTACTATACTAAGTTTGATATTATACAATCAATAAAATACAAAGTCTAAATATTTCTTAGGTAAAAAAGCAGAGACTATTAGGCTGTAGTGTTACATAATCAAAGAAAGGAAACCATTTTTTCCAGGAAGATGTTAGTCTTTAAGGTGCTACTGGACTCTTACTCTTTTCTACTGCTGCAGATAGTCTAACACGGCTACCCATCTTGTGCTTTATTGGGTTATGAATTCTGGGGAGTTCTAGTCATGAGACTTGAGTCAGATGGTGCATTCTTTCTTCTTCCAGGTACTTGGAACACTTTTCATTTACGTTTTGTTTATGGTCGAAGAGTTCAGGAAAGAGCCAGTAGAAAACATGGATGATGTCATTTATTATGTGAATGGCACCTATCGATTACTAGAGTTCCTTGTAGCACTCTGTGTCGTGGCATATGGTGTGTCAGAGACTATCTTTGGAGAGTGGACTGTGATGGGCTCGATGATCATCTTCATTCACTCCTATTACAATGTGTGGCTTCGTGCTCAGTTGGGGTGGAAAAGCTTTCTCCTCCGCAGAGATGCTGTGAATAAGATTAAATCACTTCCTACTGCTACCAAAGACCAGTTGGAACAACATAATGATATCTGTGCCATCTGCTATCAGGTATGTAATGTGTCCAAATATAGATTACTTGGAGTATATCTTTTTTCTATCTTTCTTTTGACATCATGCAGGCTGCCCTTATAAGATTGTCAAAAAATTTAACCAGAAAAGTGATTCTGTTCACATATGCGCAAAGATGACACTGTAGCCTGGTGGTAAAAGTATTTCCTGTCCTTACACCATACACATAACAACAGGCTTAGATCCACCAGAGCATTTCCATGAATATAATGATCTCCAGACATGGAGCATGACTTTCTGACTTCCTGTTGCAGTCCAAAATACCCCCAAGATCAGGATGGGGGGGGAGGGAGGAGCAAGTTGCACTCCATGGGCAGAAATCTTTCCGTCTGTGGAAATGCACAAGTAGATCCAAGACATTGTGTGTGGAGCGGATCCTCCAGAGCCTGTGTGCATGATGGGCTGATCTGCTCAATTTGTCTTCAGAAAAGGAAGGGAAGATTGTATGTGCTGTGGGCAGAACTCCATGTAATGTATTCATATCACACATTATGTTGTGTACAAGATGGTGGGCATGTGCTAATTCTTCTGTCAAACAAGTTGTACTGCCAGCTGAGCAAATGAACTGGACCAGTTTCTGCACCGTTAAATGTGGTGACTTATCAAATGATGGAGCTGTTTCTGTAATTTTGTAAGATTCATCACCTGGGTTTCTGTGTGAATGGTGGTCTAATGTTAGATGCTTCATAAAGCCGGAAACAATGTTGGCTGCTTTATATTAAGGACTTTAAATCGATGCCTGTATCTGAGATGGCTTGCAGGCTGCCCGTTGAAACAAGATGCTGACAAGCCTGAACTGGCAACTTTTAATGACAGTGACACCAGGCTGTTCAATCATTTTGTATCAGTTTCTCTTTTGTCAAAAGTCTACCCAGTTTAACTGGCTTCCACTCTTACCTCCACTCCCATCTCTGTCTTTACAGGATCCATTTAATCTCCAAGGCCTATTCATTTAAAGAGCCAATTGTTCAGCAATGAAACACCATTCAGATTAGGTTTAGACTTTTATATTTTTTTTAACTTTTTGCATTTTTGTGCACACGTGGGGACTGGCCCACGTGTGCACAAACCTCCCCCTCCCTCCCACCTGCCCCCTCCGTGCTGATTTAGCGATCCGCACGGAGGGGGCAAGTTGGCTATTAGATATATAGATGGGAAGCAGAAGTAATGAAATGAAAAGGACTCTGAAAGTTACACTCGTGTAACCCATTAAGCTTTAAATTCTGTTTATGCTTATTTTCTTGTGTAGCGGTTGCGAATAGAAAAGTCCCACTCTTGTAAGTGGTTCATTAAAAGCACTTTGAAGGAAGAACTCCTTGCAATTAATATCCTTTGTCTATAGCTATTGAATTACATCCAAGCCATAGATGACTGGTAGAGTAGGTAAAAGGTTCAGTGGCACCTTCAGGGCGAACTCATGGAAAACTGCTGCCAGCCAAGGTAGATGAGGCCATGTGATGGACAGGAGGCTTTCCTGCCCTGAAGGGGGGGGGGAAGCCACTCAGCTGAGCCAATGGGAGTCCAGCTCCAGCATCCAGTCACCTTTCAGGAGGGGGATGGAATGTTGGAGGGGAAGCACAGCAGGAGTTCCGATATTCCTCAGGGAGAGTGCAGTGGTAGTCTGGGTCTGCCTCAGTAAAAAAGCAGACAATTTGAAGGGTATTTCTGCCTGGCAGCGTGGTTTAACTTTACTTCTGGGAGAGAATAGAGTGAGGCCTGTCTCTGGTGATGAGCAAACCTTTTACCTTCTAGTCTTGACTCTTGGGAAAAGGCAAGCTGGTGTGGGTAGAATCCTGTGTGCTCAAAAGGATCCAACCTTGTGGCTAGTCAGTGAAAGCCTGCTTTGTACCTGAAAGCATCAAAGAGTTTTTCAAACTGCACTCTGAAGCCATAACTAGCTTAAACTTATGTGGCTCAGCCAGGTTTCTCTTTTGGCTACCTGGTGAGCTGTGCTGCTGTTCTGTTCTTTAAAACCAATCCGTAAATAAATAACTCTTATTTGTTATCTATGTACAACTCCTCATCACAAAACTTACTTCACAGCAGTGAACCCAAAGCCTTTACACTTGCTACCCCAAGAACATCTTTTAACCAAGGGGAAGGTTTAGTGTTCAGAACAAATCTGGGTTCCTCAAAATCAGAAGAGGCTATATGGGCCCCCTCAGTTGCTTGCAAAGGGCTGTTATAGACCAATTGTCTGAATAAATGTAAGACAGCTCCTTGGAGATTCAGACAGTTGAGAGGCTCTCCATGTATGTGTTTGACCTAGACTCCATGAAGTGGCATGGGCCACTTGGATGCCCTTCAGATTTAATTGTTAAGCTCTTGTGGGCCACAAACAGTAGGCCTTTGTGGGAAGTCCAGTGTGTTGTACAGAGGACCAAAACCCCTAAAGCCACGCAAAATAAACATGAGGGGAGGGTAAATCAGTCATCTTGCTACTTCAATATATGGGTACTTACTTGGTCACCCATGCACTCCCATATAGGTCCCTTTATCTTATGTTTGGATGCTCTAGGCATGCCATAGTCAGTTTCTCTTTCCAAATGCTATATGCGGGCCTGTAGATTAAAATAATGGTTCTTTTGTGGCCCAACAACTCAGGTTCTGCACCGAGACAAGAAGAATATTGCAACCTGTATAAAATGTGTATATTGAACAAGCGTGCACAATTAATTTTGCCATGTTTTTGTATTTTGTGCGACTTATTCCCACCCAGTGGCTGAAAATCATCTTCAGGCACCTGTTTGACTGTTCAGATTTTGGCAGGCATTCCCCATGTTCTTTCAAGCATACCTTCTCGGCCATAAGAACTAAAAACTTGCTTTTAAAATAAAAATGGAAAGTATCAAGAAATCAAATTCTTCACCCTCTAGTACAGTCAGTTCATTTTTTGTGCTTGCACAAAATTGACACCGTTCTGCTTCACTCCTTACCTACGACTGAATGTTGCATTCTGCTGTTTTCATATTGAATGAATGCATGTTAAGAGTGTGAATAGTCTTTGATCCATGATAAATCGAGCACAGTGACCCTAGTCCATCTTTGTCATGGTTTAAGCTTAACAGTTAATTCTAGTCTTAGTTGAGATTTTGGTTGTAAAGTGGTATAAAGTGGAGCCAGTTTGGTGTAGTGGTTAAGTGTGTGGACTCTAATCTGGGAGAACCGGGTTAGATTCCCCACTCCTCCACTTGCACCTGGCTGGATGACTTTGGGCAAGCCGTAGTTCTGATAAGAACTGCTCTTGAAAAGGAGCAGTTTCTGTCAAGAGCTCTCTCAGCCCCACCTACCTCACAGGGTGTCTGTTGTGGGGAGGGGAAGGGAAAGGAGTTTGTAAGCCGCTCTGAGACACCTTTGGGTAGTGAAGGGCGGGGTATAAATCCAATCTCTTTTCTTCTTCTTATACAAATACTGGAATCAATCAACGGGTTGCTTCGGGAGGATGCTTTTGCAGTTGGATACTGTATGTTCCATCTCCTTTTTTTTCTTTCCTTCAGGACATGAAATCTGCAGTCATCACCCCTTGTGGCCACTTCTTCCATGCAGGCTGCCTTAAGAAATGGCTGTATGTGCAAGAGACCTGCCCCCTGTGCCACTGCCAACTTAAAAACCCAACTCAGCCTCCAGGGCTGGGATCAGAGCTGGTGCCACAGCCAAACCTTGGAGCAGAACAAAATACTGTTCAGCAAGAGGCAACGGAAACTCCTGGTGTAGAACACCAGAAAAGGGCAAGAGATGAACCTATTGACAATGGACAGGCTGTCAAAGGTTTGGGTACCCTGCAGGACTCTTTGGACACCAAGGATAGGCCTGTCATTCCAGATGATGCCTCTACCTGTGAGGTCAGCCAGGCAGACAGTGCCATGGAAGGACTGGCTAAAGAACAGGAAGAGGCGGTAACACGAGGCCTTGGGGGTTGTATCCAGAATTGAACAAGCAGAGGATGGTGCAAGCAACACTCCAGGGTCCCTTGACTGAGCAGACGGAATCCTAACCTTTGTTGTCTTGGACAAGCTTAACTCTCAGAATGCTGGCCAAAATGTATTTATAATATCCCATGCTGATTTCTGTGAGCTGCTTGGTTTACAGGGCTCCCAGTGCAATCCACTGGAAACTATTTTAGAAGCTGCCGCCATGTTGCAAAAAAGGGGCAGAAACTGAGAAATCACAACTAAGTATTGTCAAAAAGGAAAGTTGTAAGAAAAATAAGAGGGGGTGGGGTGGGAATGAAGACAGCCAGGTTAGTTGGGGGGGGGCAGTCAGTGTTGTTTAAGTGCGGAAGGGAGAATCAAACAGAAGGATGAGAAAGATGTGTTTGAACCTCTGGGCTTTGGCCTCTCTGTAGCGGCGAGAGCTCCGCCAAGATCGTTGGCAAAGATTCTGTAGAGCACTGAAGGGAGAAGTCAAGGAGTCCCATCATCGATTGTGTTGGGAATGGTGCTTCAGGCATGTTGGGTCAGGGCAGCTGCATTTGCATTTGTGTAATCTATAGCAACTCTTGACTTTTTACAACAGAGCTGTCAACACTTTAATGTTTTTGTGAATGAACGTTCTGGGCAGCACGGGCTGTGTGAAGTAAACTAAAGCTCCAGTGAACTCTCTTGACTCCAAAAGAGTGGAGGAGAGATGTGGGAGGAGTTTTAGGATGCTGATTGAAGCCTCTCAGTGCTGTTCGGTTTGGTCTAGTGTCTAACTTCTTGCAGCTGAATTGAAGCAGTATTAATCTCCTGGCAATATTTGCACCTTTTGGGAATGAGTACATAATCCGTATGATCAAATGCTGCAAATGCCACTCCTAAAGCTGTTAATAGGATTTGCACCTTTCCCCCCCTTTTCTTTGACAACTATGTATGTGTATTTAAATTTTTACATTCATCATGGCTTTCAGGTAGAAATAGGGATTGGGGGAGGGATGGGAGCTGGCGAATTTTTTATGTGATTTTTGATATGAAAAGGAACTAGTCACTTATTTATACACTAGGCTTGGCTCAAAGAAAGTGTGTTCTTTTGTTTTCCTCAGAAGTTGTTGTTCCTAACGTGAAATGTGGCATTTCATTTTATTTTTTAGTAGTGAACTTGGGTGTAGACTAACAGACATAACTGAATGTCTCAATAAAATACATTTGAAGATTTTTTTTTTACATCTGGGTGTGGTGTTTTCTTTTCATCATGTGTTTGAAGATGAGTAAGCACGGTGGAAGCTACAGAATTGATCCTAAGAGGTTCTTAAATAAGAAAATAACACTCTTACTGAACAAGACCAAGGTCCACCTAATGCAGCTTCTTGTTTCTCAGATGCTTTTAGTCCAAGCCAGCTTCCTGTAATACATTCTCATGACTGGGCCAACTGGGAGAGGTAGAGACAGTATTCATCTCCTCAGAGCATGGAAATGACCAGCTTTAGTGTTTTTCTTACCGTGATTATTATTTATTAAATTGGATTTTTAAACCACCCTCCACTGTAAAGACAAGGCTCAGGGCGGTGTACAACAGTAGAACATAATAAACACAAATTTGAAAAAATTAAAATACAATAAAAACAGAACAATGATGCTTTACTGGCACTCTAGGTGTTCCTCAATAGCAATGCACAGGAAGCTGCAAGAAAATGCATGCCTCTTCACTCATTTGTTTGAGGTACTCTGCGTGGCCACAGTTTAAATATTGAATTTATCTCCTAATACGAAATAGAAGTTAGCTGTACCAGACAAATCCCAAGAACCCCCTTTTTAATACTCAAAATTTAATTTTCTCAGTGTTGCCAAGGGGAAAAAAACACTGAAAAGATGTTGGGAAATATTGACTAAAGAAAGCAAAGATATATATATATACTTTTTTACTCTGCCAATTTAAATAAGTTTTCCGTGTGGTTTGTACTTAATAAATAGGACAAGCAATTGCAACGTACTTTTTATAAAATCAGTAGGATGTTTTGGAAGTCATTAATTCATAGGCTCCTGTGTTTTGACTGTACCACTTCAACTACAGATGTGAGTTCATGTGATTGAAAGTTCCTCCATATCAAACTTCCTTCCGCATAGAAAACTAGCATGTCAGGTTTCTTGGTATTTAAGGCTATTTTGTGAAGACCGTGCACACTTAGTAAGATGAGAATCCAGTTTACATTTTAAAATATACTTCAGACCCAATTGTTATGTAAAAAATATTTCTGTACCTATGCTTCAAGAAGGAAGTCTGTGGATCCACAAAATGTACCTGCCGAACAATGGGTAAAAATGAAGGGTAAACAATTTTATTTATTTATTTAATTTATATCCCGCCCTCTTTGCCAGGGCAGGCTCACTGTGAAGTGAATCATATAAGCAAAGCAGTCGAAGCTGGCTGATTCACGACAACATTTCAACTGTGTAGTCCTCGTTGCAAAAGAAGACGCCTGCCTTTCAGTAATAGTGAATCCTACATTCAAGCAATCCATAAGGCAATGCTTGGAAGAGAACTGATACTTCAGTGTTTGTGCTGGTTTGTTTTCAATTGAATCTGTGCTTTATATCTAGAAGAAATGTACATAGGAAGATATGCCAGCAGTGGTACCAATTAGGGAGAACTCCAAAGACGCTATGGGGGGTGGGGGGAATGAAGTCGCATTTCTCCAGTTGATGCCTCAGAGATAACTGCTGTGATTCAGTGGCCAGTAGAGACATGTTCGCATGTGTTTAGGATAATTCCCCGTCCCTAACACTATTCAGTCTAGTACGTGGTACCTTAGTATTATAAACAATCTACCCACCTACTTATTTGGTGAACATAAAAAAGTGTATAGCACTTTTATCCTGCAATCTTAAGCACGATAATTTGAAAGTAACTATGTGTGTGTGTTATGTGCTGTCAAGTTACTTCTGACATACGGGGACCCTATGAATTAATGACTTCCAAAACATCCTATTGATTTTATAAAAAGTATGTTGCAATTGCCTGTCCTATTTATTAAGCACATTTTTATACTGCCCTTCCTCCAAGGGGCATTAAGTAGCATACATAATTATCCCCGCCTCCATTTTATCCTTACAAACAGACCTGTGAGGTAGTAAGTGATTGGTCGAAAGTCACCCATGAACTTCGAACATAGGTCTCATCAGTCTGATACTAATGACCAGTGTTCTTTCTAAGCTGAGTTAGTGTGAGCTAGCTCACAGTTTTTTAGCCTCTGGCTCACAGATTTTTGTCTTAGCTCAGAAAGGAGGGCTCCAGAGCAAACCAATTTATGCAGTAGCCAAATCGCTCGCTCACAACTTTAATGCCAGCAGCTCACAAAGTAGAATTTTTGCTCACAAGACTCCACAGCTTAGAGGGAGCATTGCTAGTGACTACACTTCAATCACTGGTTCCTCTCCATACCCCTGTGAGGCAGGGCTCTGTAGCATTTTATGGATGGTGTGCTGTTCCTGTATATGCTTGCCTAGAACTTACCCATTGAACTGAGTGTGGTTAGGATAGGATTGGAAGCGCTGATAACGGGGATATAAATCCACATCCTCATGAGAAATATGATTCTAATAAGGATTGTTGACAGCATAAAGTGTTTTGATTGTAAGGGCTTTTACCCGAGTGTAGGAGGTAAATACGTTTTAAACTGTATTCATTTCACAATGATGGGATTTTTTTTTTCCTTTATAAACTGCAAAAAGGAATTACCAAGGCAAGGTAAATTAAAGGTTTTCTCAAAGCCAAGTTCCCTCTGCTGGCTAAATTTACTACTGCAAACAACATGGGATTGCCCTTGTTAATATATTGATGCAGGGCTTTTTTTGTAAAAAAAGACCAGCAGGAACTCGTTAGCATAATAGGCCACACCCAACAGCAGAAACTTATTAGCATATTAGGCCACATCCCTGACAGCACAGTTCATTAGCTTATTAGGCCGCACCCCCATGTTACCAGAAGTGTGGACATCCAGCCACACCGACCTTTTTCTTCTTATTCTGTTTACCTTGCTTGTTGTCAAAACCCAGGGCTTTTTTTGTAGCAGGAACTCCTTTGCATGTTAGGCCATACACCACTGTAGCCAATCCTAATGAGTTTCTGCTGTTGGGTGTGGTCTATTATGCTAATGAGTTCCTGCTGGGCGTGGCCAACTTGGGAGCCAGCCGGAGCTCCGTTCCTGTGCGTTCCTGCCCAAAATAGCCCTGAATTGATGTATAATTTACAAAACAGGTAGCAACCAGCGTCTGACCCCAAACCTTGCAAGGAGAGGGATTACAAGGTTCACCATTTTGTGTTCACTGGCATCAGAGGCCTATGAAAAATACAAGGGGATTTGCAAGCTACAATTTCTCCTGTTAATATATGGGTGTAGATAGTAGCTTTCCAAAGCTATTGAGGCAAAAAACAAATGCTGGCAACTCTGAATAGAATCCATACAACAGGTGTAGGATGGCAGTTAAAAGTGGCTTAGTGCTTAATTTGTGGTTATAGGTTCCAAAAATATGCACTGTAAAAACAGAGGTAAACTGCCATTCAGCCATGCAGACAGCATGAGCAAAATAATGGTTTTAAAACTGAGGTTAAGTAGGACATCTCTCCAACATCTGGATAAAAGTATAGAAATGTGATTACAAAAATGCATGCCTGGATGATATTTAGATAAGGAATGAGCAAGAGCTCATCCACCCCAGGCCTGATCTGGAATTAAATTTAGAAACCAAAATAATATCCAGACCTTCACTAGCAATCCAGGCATCAGTCTGGTGGTTCTCTTTGATTAAGCCCACCTTGGATCTCTGGTTTGGAGGCCTCCAGAAAATACCATAGTCATGCAAGGTCTGACACTTCTGCTACTACTTGAAGCCCAGTTTATGTGGGGAAGGAGCACAATAAATGTAGAAAGAACGAGATACCCATAAATGGGCTGTGTTCCATTAGTTGACCAACCTGTAGAATGGGAGTTCAACGTGATGCATAGGGTTGCCAAGTCTCACCTTGTTCTGGAGCGGGGGACGCTGGGGGCGGGGCCATGACCATCTGAGGGAAAACCATAGAGTTTTCCCTCGGATTACTGTGGCCCCGCCCCCAGCGTGCCCGGTGTGGTCGCGTCACTTCCTGGTGACGTGCACGATGGGGTGGAGTTCCCCCCGGGGCCCGATCCGGCGGCGGCGGGGAACGGGCCACTGGGGCAGAGGTTTCCCCGCCCCCCGGGGGGACTTGGCAAGCCTAGTGATGCATAATGCTAATTCTTTGTTTTTGTTTTCTTTCTGATCTTCTAGGGATTGTGCTGCCAACAAATA